CCGGTCGCCTTCACCCGCCTTCCAGCCCTCGGTAGCCCGGGAAGCCGACCCGCCGCGGCCCGGGACGCCCGGACCATCCCCGGGACGGCCCCGCCAGCGCGGCACGGCGGTGCGCGGGCGCTTCCCCCGGGGCTCCTGCGGGCATCCCCGGGGGATAGCGCGGGAGCTACGCCGCCCGGGCGAAGGGCGAAGTGCCAGTCGCGATCCCCAGATTTTATAAAGCACCTTAGTCGTAAACATTACCCTGAAACGGGCGCGCGGAAATCAGAGAGCAGGGAGGGAATGGGTTTGTCCAAGGTCACTTAAGTAAGGGACAGACCTGGGAGCAGCAGAAAAACTCCAGGCCTCCTGTCTCATTATTATTTAATGGATGTTAAGTGTCCGTGGTTGCTGTGCAGAGCACATGCGATCTGGAAGCCTCTCCTAAAAGCACACATGCAAAAAACAAAACAAAACAAAAAACAGCCCAGGCAGAGCTGCTAGCGGAGAGTTCCTGTCACTGGGGCCGAGCAGAGTTTTGTTTTGCTTGTTCTGTTTTGTTTTCAGGGAAGCGAAATATTTGCTGTTGAATCGATCCAGGAAAGCCGTGCCCCATCAATTAAATTCGTTATCTCCTCGAGAAATGTTAAATGACGTGGGTAACGTTCCCTTCACGGGCTCCATTTTTCCAGAGCGTCTATTTTTTTGGCTGTAAAAAATATTCCTAAGGAAGGGAGAGACTTTTACATGAAATTGTTCGGGTCTTGGATGATCTGAACCAACTGAGCTGTCCATCTGTGAAATGGAAGTGTTATCTATCCCTGTGAAGATAGGCCACAAGTTCATTCTAGTTGTGGAGTGGAATACATAAGCACCCGGGTACGTGTCCGGTTACTTACCTGGTGGATTCTGGAAGTTCACTCTCGCTGCGTGAATATATATCGAGCGACAGCTGCGCGTCAGGCACAATTCTGGATGCTGGGAACACAGCAGCGACCGCGCAAGCAACAACCCTGTCCTCATAGGGCTTATGATCTCTAGGAACATGGCTAGGAAGAGGCGCTTGGACGAGGGACAGGAAGGGGGTCTTCTGGAGCTCCTACGAGTGGCAGAAAGCTGTAGCCGACAGAAGAAGGCTTTCCAGTCCAGGCGATGGAGCGGGAGAGCTGCCCAGGCAAAAACAGGATGCTGAAGGGGCACCAGGGTGAGTCCTGAATTGGCTCTTCCTTCTCAAGCTCTTGGCTGGGGCGCCTGGGTGGCTCCATCGCTTAAGCGTCCGCCTTTGGCTCAGGTCATGATCTCGCGATACGTGGGTTCAAGCCCCGCATCGGGCTCTGTGATCTTATTTGTTTACTTGTGTATTATCTGCCTCTTCCCCCAAAGAATGTGAAGTCTAGGATAGTAGCAGGGTTATCTGTCCGTCTCCACTGGTCTAGTACCCTAACTCCACTCCCGGTTAGGGACCTTTCCGAATTTGCTGTACGTCCTTAGCCATGGAAATCATCAAAGATATGACCAAAGTAGAAAGAATAGTGTAATGAACCCCCATGCACCTATCATCTCGCTTCAAAAATGAGCTATTCGTGACCAGTCTCGCATTTCATCTACTCACTTGTCCTGCCTCTCCCACTTGAATTCTTCTGCAGCTAATCCCAGACTTTTTTTTTTTTAACATCATTTCATCTATAGATATTTAAGTAGGTATCGTGGGAGTCAAATAAACGGCTGATCTGCCTATTAAATCTCTTATCTATACATTCTCTCCTTTGCACTTTATCGAAAAATCCATCCTGAGGCTTTGGATCCCAGTGCTGTCCCCAGAACTGTTTTGCCCTTCAGTCTTGCCCAGTAAAGAGCACCGTGATTTACTCAGTCCTCACACCAGGAAGCACAGGCATCCTCCTGGAGACCCCCCTTCTCCCCCTCGTGGTCCTGCTGGTCCTTCCCTCTGAAAAGTCCTCAGGATGACCCACTTCTGTCTCTCCTCACCTTTATAGAAGGTAAATCAGCTGAAGTCGCATCCTTGCTCAAATCCACACAGGGGCTCCCACAGCTCTGGTGACAATCGGCGCTCGCAGGACGGGGATCGCTCCTGGAAATAGTCAAAGATATGACCAAAGTAGAAAGAATAGTATAATGAACCCCGACCTTGGGGCTGCAGCCCAGCCACCTTGGGGCTGTTTTCACAGGGAGCTACCTCACTGGTCTTGTTGGGCGGTATTTCCCACTTTCTCCTATCTTTTTACTCTTAGAAAGGGATCCTGGGGGCGCCTGGGTGGCGCAGTCGGTTGAGCATCCGACTTCAGCTCAGGTCACGATCTCGCGGTCCGGGAGTTCGAGCCCCGCGTCGGGCTCTGGGCTGATGGCTCAGAGCCTGGAGCCTGTTTCCGATTCTGTGTCTCCCTCTCTCTCTGCCCCTCCCCCATTCATGCTCTGTCTCTCTCTGTCCCAAAAATAAATAAACGTTGGAAAAAAAAAATAAAAAGAAAGGGATCCTGTTTGTAGGGTACACGAAAGAAAAGTGGAGGGGGTTTGGAGCCATTGCTTAAAAAATCTCATTATTCATTTTTCTGCATTACATAATCACTAAACAAAACTGGTTGCATCTTAAGGAAGATATTAACCATGAAACTAGCGTAACACTCCCAAGTAAGATGTTTTCAAAGGTTTCAATTGGTAGCATTGAGCTTGTGTCTGTGAACATAATATTTTATATCAAGTTTTATGCTTGAAATGGCCATATTCCATTCCCGATCAAGACTTTATAATGAAGATCTCTTTAAATTCTTTTTTTTTTT